AAATCAGTATATATGTGTGTAGTGTGTGTGTACCAAATGTAGCGGGCCGGGTTTATCGGTTCGAACGGGCCTACACCCTAATCCAAGCCCGCCCATATGTTATTGCGGGCCGGACACGGGCCCGTCCGGTGGATAATATATATGCTCAAGCCCGCCCATTTGTGTGGACCGGCCCGATTTTGTGTGGGTCTAATAATAGACTAGTTGAATTGAACCATAAACAAATCCTATTATTATACGAGTATTATAATTCTATTTCAGTACAAAAATGACGATATTGACAGATGTTTTTGATAGATATTCACCAAAATTCATAGAGGATTTGGCACGGAGGCGCCAAAGTCGTGCCAAAACATTATGTTGAGCTATTTAATACGAAATCATAGATCGAACTGTGTCAAATCTGTTTCAATCTCAATGATTTTTTGCAGGGTTTATCAAAATTAAGACCCCCATGGCCATGGCCCATTTGTTTGCTCAGCTTTTTAGATCGAGTTTTAGCTATAGTAGAGACCATATACATTACGACATCCTCAAGTGCTACAGTCCTACTTGGCCTAATCCATGCTAATTAATGCGTGGCTAGTTTATCATTAATATCAAACGCAATTTATCGGGAAATTTATATTATAAATTAAAACCAAAGACCGATCGCGACCTTAATTACCATAGCTTGTCTAGTCATCCAAATCAAAGTCCAAACACCTTCCACAACCAATGTTCATTCTTTACCTCAGCAATGAAAGTGTTTGCCTCTATTTGCCTCTTCGTTGATCATTCGTACATGAAGCTCACATAAATGTAAGTTCCTGTAATTTTCAAACTACAAAGAAATTAAGAATTTGATACAGATTTGATACGAGTTTACTGATGATTTCATGTCAATAATAGTTCATTTCAAAAGTTTTGGCACAAATTTGGTGAATTTGACATATCCCACCAATCTTCTATGAATTTTGTTGAATTTCCATTAAAAAAATTGTGAATCCCATATTTTTTTGTAATGTTAATAAACTAATTAATTTCATGGTTCTCATCTAACTTATACGACGTATGTGTTAGAGAGTGTCGGTATCCTTTACATTTGTGGTTTGTATATACAGAATATATATAGTTGTATTGATTCATTGTTTTGAAAATGAAAATATAACCTGCGTCACTCGCGCTGTCGCGCAATTAGTAAGTTACTATGGAGTACATGCTATATGGAGTTTTTAATATAACTTGTAAGAGATTTTAATGCTAAATATATATGTGTATGCAATTGAAGATTATATATGGAGTAGACAAAATGAGTAAATTATACTCGACTCATATTCAATCTAAATACTAAAATTGGAAAATCATGATGTGCAAGGGGAAATATACCGAGTATTACTTAATAAAATCCGTCGTTGAAGAAATCCACAAAATCTACAATTGTATCTAGTGCCAAAAAATTATTGACCCATGATCAAGCAGCCACTTTGGAGAATCACTCCACCAATAACCAGTGCTTATCATTAGTGATTTGATGCAATCATGCAAATTAATTCACGCATTGATACAGTCACTACGTATGAAGAATGTACGTACTAAACACATAGATATTAAAGTATTGCTACTGATTTGGATAAAACATGATATGAATACATTGATACTAATTAAGTAAAAAAAACGAGTGGACCTCTCTACATTAATTAGTCCAGATTTTATTTTATTGATTAAAGCTAGAACGTATATCACTTGGATGTAACTTGTAAGTTGTAAGTAGTCCCGTCCCTCAAAGTCTTTGTTAGGGTTAGGATTCTTTATCATGATAAATAATTAAATAATCTACTTATCACAAATGTTCCTGTCAGGTATACCTGACCGGAGGCGCCGTCCGGCCACCACGTTTTGAGGGCCTTCCCTGTGGAATTTTTCGAAGAAATTTTTTGAGCATGTTCTTCGTCAAGTCTAGTATATCCATACCAAATTTCAGCAAAAAAATTCAATCGGGAAGGCAGTCAAATGATTTTTGAAAGTTAACTGGTCCGGAATATGTATTTTCCGGACCAGTTAACTTGCAAAAATCATTTGACTGCCTTCCCGTTTGAAGTTTTTGCTGAAATTTGGTATGGATATACTAGACTTGACGAAGAACATGCTCAAAAAATTTCATCGAATAATTCCACCGGGAAGGCCCTCAAAACGTGGTGGCCGGACGGCGGTTCCGGTCAGGTATACCTGACCGGAAGAGTACTCATCTACTTATTATATATATGTTTGTATATACATTACATCTTTATTATGATAATATTTAGTGCAGCTTTCTAGCGTGGAAGTGACATGAACAACAAGAGAAAGAACCATGAAAAAGAAAACCATGAAAAAGATGGTGGTGGAGATGATGATGTTCTTCGACTTTCATTGGCTTGCCAAGAATCTGCTCATGTACCACAGTTCGTCCTCCCACAGCCACCGGTCCCGTCGTCTCAAAGGCAAGTAATTCCCCCGAGACAAGTACGGCGGCGGCGAAACCTAACAGAGACACCGCGCGAAGGCAAGAGTGAGAATGTACCTTCTCTATTCCCGTGGTCAACGAATAAGCGTGCAACTATACAAAACCTAAGTTATTTGATATCAAATAAGATATTTACCATCACCGGAGATGTGCAGTGCAAGCGATGCGAGCGAACCTATGAGATGGGATTTGATTTGAGAGAAAAGTTTTACGAGATTGGCAAGTTTATAATGGAAAATAAAGAAAACATGCATGATCGGGCACCCGAAGTGTGGAGGAACCCGATTCTTCCTACGTGTAGGTTTTGTGAGCAAGAGAATAGTGTTAAACCGGTTATTGCAAGTAGCAAGAGAGTCATAAACTGGCTCTTCTTGCTACTAGGGCAGCTCCTCGGGTGTTGCACACTCGAGCAGCTGAGATATTTTTGCAAACACACCCAAAATCATAGGACAGGAGCCAAGGATAGAATCCTTTACCTGACTTATTTGAGTTTGTGTAAGCAGCTTGATCCTACCGGTCCTTTTGATCGTTAGTGATATTGAGTGTCTACAAGCTCTCTCTCTTAATGGTTTTATATAGATAACTATTGACTATGTCCACCTATGAACTTATTATGTCTATGTTCTCTCTATTTGGATTATTTATTATATATGGAAGTGATACATCCCATTTATTACGAGCATAAAATGACACTACTTTTAGCATTATACATACGTAGTATGTTTTAATTCTTACATTCTTTTTAGATCTTATCATCATGCATGAAATTGAAGTACATTCTATATTTCTATTGATTCTAATCCTTCTCTTGAAGACCGACTATAGTTAATTAGTTTTTTTGAAAGGAATAGTTAATTAGTTATAGCCCTTTAAATTATGCGCAATATAATAGATACGTGCCCGATTATAATAATTAACAACACCTTTATATACTCCGTATTATAACTAGCTAATTCCCTACTATATGATCTTTGGGAATGGTAATATACTACTCTGTCCCTAAATTTACTTCCATTTCGCTTTTCGAGAGTCAACTTAAATCACTCTTAAACTATTACTTTTTGTATCAAAACTTCATGAAAATTGATTGTTTATTTGCAGGCTTTGTAGCGGGTTTAATGTAGTTTCTGAATATGTAAATTTTATTTACTAAAAATAATCCGAGTTTTCACAGGGATCATTTAACTTTATCGTCGGTCAACCTTCGTAATCCGTAATTGGAACAACATTCAGGGACGGAGGGAGTAACTGATATCATAAATAACTATATCGACTTTAACTATGTATTTTCTGAACTATGTATTGCACATTTCACGGTGAAAAGATCGCATCAGAAAAGTGTACGTGGCATAGTTAATTAGAAACTTGGAACTTATAAGCTCTCGTTACGTTACGGACTTACGGGTGAGGGTAACTGGGTAAGTACTGCCATTACCATTGAAACTCATGTGATCGAGTCCGAAATTAATTGCCAATTATCTATGGACTTTGGAAGGCATTTCATTGACGGTAAGATTATGATTTATGAGGATGAGGATGTTTTTATTTTGTTTGAAATTTACTAATCTAGTATGATCTGGTATGTTTAAGCCTGTTCTGATTTGATCTAAGGATTGAAATCAATTCAAGTAAAGACATTCTGATTATACAAACACCCACACTTTGATCATAAAAAATGTTCAACCATTAATGTGTTTCATTGTTAAACCCCTAACGCATAACAATATAATATCAAACTAATAAATATTTAACGGTAAATAGACAAACAAATTTTAACAAGATAAAAATCAGAAGAAAACAAATATAAGTTCAAGTAAAGTGGAAAGTATTTGCATGGTGATAATGCCATATAACAAGATATATATATATATATATATATATATATATATGGAGAAATATTTGTTTTCTTCAATGCTAATAACTTCCTTACTTTGATCACCCACATGTATTAAAAGTATGTCATCAAAAACCTTAATACGAGCTAAATATGGGGTCTCTCACCACCCTATTGCGGATCCAAGTCTAAAATGTTTCCAATTTGCAACAGTCAGAGGTAATGACACATAAGGATCCATTGAATCCTACAATCCATATATAAAATAGCGTAGTCAATATACAATTCCAAGATGTGCATAGTAACTATCAGAATATAAAGGACAGGCTTCTACGAGTGCGTTGCCTCAGCAGGTGACCTGCTGACGTGACGGGTAACCTGCTAATTGACCCAATTGATCATTTCTTTTTCAAAATTCAGGAATCTGATCAATTTTTTTGAAATCTAAGGGACTCTTGAATTTTTCGTAGGAATTTGCTAACCCGATAGCACGGTCGAAACGAAAACTAATATGGGGCTTGCACCCCATGTATGCGGCCTAACTACGCGTTACCAAAATTGTAATCTCATTTTCCCAGGCCAAAAATTATTTCTTTGTACTATGTTAGAGTAGGCTGATTTTCAGCCCAAACCAATTAATTTTGTGCAGCCCGCCCGACCAACCAGCCGTAAAGCCCAAATAAAAAATACGGAGTAGCCAACAGTCTAACACAGGAGTTCAGTTTCGTAAACTGAGTTCCGTACTTCCGTCTGTAAACTCACCCAGCGGTTCCGTCCTTCAACATCGGTCGTCGGCGTCCAGCACTCCAACTCTCCAGCTCCAACTCTCCAATCCTTCAAGAGTTCTTGTTATCAGAATATCAGGTACACCTTCAGTTCAGCAGTTCGGCCATTGACCCATTGTTTTACACTCTTACAAAATCACAGTTGTTAACATTTTTTATTGATTACGTGACCAGTTTATAACAATTAGCATTTTCTTTTAATAATTTTTTTGATTAATACGAACATATGATTATGTGACCAGTTTATTATTGATAAATTGATTTCATTCATAGTTGTTTACTGCTTATAAGTGATTATGAATAGTTGACATATAATTAGTTGATTTGTTACATGTTAATCACTTAATTGTTGATTGTTATCTATTGAGTTTTGGTGTTTTATTTGTTCATATTGTTAGGTATGAGAGAAAAATATGAAGAAGAGAAAATTCGATAATGCTTCCCTAAGTAAAAAAAGGTGCAATGGAAAAGTTTGTTTTTATGAAGAAGACAAATTCTGAAAGTCCTTCTGAGGATAAGAACTTAGAGGAGAAGAATCATTCAGCTAGCGAAAACGAAATAGTTCATAATGATAATGTCATAGGAGGTAAAGACTCAAGAGTTGATAACATTGGTAGTCATCGAGCAATGTATTTCAGTAATTTGTATTTGGTTATTTTGAAAATGTGATTCAACTATGTTTAATTTAACGAATTCAATTATATTCCCTATTATGGGGGTGTTTGGATCTTATTCATAAAACTGCTTCTGCTCCTTGAGGAGCAGAAGCAGAAGTTGGAGTGAAAGTTCAGAAGTGATTCCGATGCTCTAATTTACTTCTAGAATCAGTTTTTTAGAAGCTGGGAGAGACCAGCTTCTCAAAACTGATTCTGCTTCTGCTTTAAAAAGAAGCAAAAGCAGAATCAGTTCCAAACACCCCTATAAAGGTCTTCAAATATTATTATTTTGCATGTTAGTTTAGATAGAAACAAGTTTTACAATTTTTATTACAATTGAGCCCATTTCAAATTATTCGTCCCTAGGCCTTCAAATATACAGGTCCACCCCTGCTTAATTGATAACCTTCAACTCTGTGTTTGATAGTGTGGATGTCAAATAGGAATCACAATAGTTGTCTAGCTATGAAAATATTTATCTACTGCGTTTATATAGTAATCCTTTTAAGTAAACAGCCCTTAATCCCTCCTGTGGGCGTACAGAATTGTATGACTCCCCTTGTGCAGTTGTGCCCACTGCATTTTCACAGTGATAGCGAAGTTGCACTTACTCCTTGATTCTTTTACTTATGAAGCTGTGTTCTTGCACAGGCTATATTAGTTTCCGGTTGGAGGGTGATTTGCCGTGTACTGGTTGGCTAAAAGGTTAAAGCGAGCATTTGCATTGCGAAATCCATATTGTTCCTTATGGCTTCTGTAATTCAACAAGTACCTGCAGATGATTCGGTTTTGCTCAGGGTCACTCATTCTAATATCAAGAGTTTCTTGGCTGATATCCGTTTATACCGTCAGGTATATATGCATCTTATCAATTCCTTTTTCGTCTTGTTGGTATTAGTCATTAGTGTCGTTATTCTCAAATATTTTAACATTGAATATTACACTGCATCGAAATAGAGCTGGTTTGAATTTAATCGAGAATGGAAATCGGAAGTTGACTCATTGGTTTTTTACATGCCCACACATTATTTATATTGAGAGAGAGTGAGTGAGAGAGAGAGAGAGAGAGAGCTAACTAGTAAGGATGATAAGTTACACATTAAAATGCAGAGTCAGCTGTAATGTTGGAATGTTTTAGCACCGGGATGGCATAGCTGGACTGTGTGAAAGTAATGCCAGAAACAAAATGTTAGACATTCTAATCAGATTGCTGCCTATTTAACATCACCTACACATTAAGGTAATAATATATTGCCAAGGTTGTGTAATAGGTTTAATCAAGTACAGTATAAAACTACTCGCATGACTAAGGTTATAGAATATCATGTGAACTGACCAAGTGACCAGTCTCTTACTGTAAGAATGTAAAAAAAAAAGTATTTTACTCCTGTTATTCTTTAATCAAGTAGAATATAATGCTGTGATCTTCCCATTTGAGAATTGAACCATACACCCATTTGTATAAGTTGTAGTCTTTAAATACATGATGAGTCAACTTTGTTTCTATGGACAGATGACGGTAGAAGCTGTGAAAGAAAAGCTCTGGAAAAAGTGTGGTACTTCTGTCACTTCAATGCGTCTTGAACTTTATGATGATAGCGGTTCTAAAATTTCAGAATTAAGCGATAACATGAGGCCATTTGGCTTTTATTCTCCACAAGATGGGTTAGTTTGTCTCTTCTACTACATTGATGTTTCCATAAAAGCTTTCACTTTTTAAAAGCGTTATTATGTGAAATACAACTGGTTCATATTTGGTACAAGAATATTACCTTTAATTTGGGGCGTTCCTCCTGGATGGAACTATGGATCTGTTTTAGTTATTTTCTTACAATAAACTCTAGATATTTTTCTTATTTCCTTGCAACATTTTATGTGCTTCTTAGTATACAACCTTGCCCACACCTTTATTTTTTACATGTGTAATGTAAGGTTTGGTCACGCCTTACCTATTTATTTATGTTTCTCTTTAGTAGTATCCTTTTGGTATACATTTTTGTCAGAAGACCACAATTTATACTAATTTAGATTAATGTGTTTGATAGTTTGGCACTTTAGCCCATATCCTTTCCATATTAGCAAGGAAATGGGGGGGGGCATGGGTACGGGGCACCCGCCCCGTGAGGGAAGGATGGGGCGGGGGCAGGGACAGGTGAGATATTCGTACCCCGTTAAAATATGGGGTGGGAACTTTTTAGACGTGGGGCAGGAGATGTGGGACTGTGGGAGTGAACCCCCGCGGCCCGCCCCAAACCCTATTTCCATACTTCAATGTTCTTTAATTTTGTCTGAGCCCTTTGTTCTTTCATGTAGGTATAGGCTACATGTTATTGACATTGATCCATCCTCAATATCAGCTGGTGGTTGGATAGATGACACCTCTCTTGTGGAGAAATACACAATCTCGAATGAGGCTTATGATAAACTTGATGGTAATCACAAATGCTTTCAATGCATTATGCTCGATTTCCTATGTAGTGTGATGATGTCACATTTATTACTATGAGTCTTGTAACCAATAAGTTACTGCAGTCAATATGTAATATAAATACCTCATTGACATCGGATAATGTTATGTTATGCATTGTCTTTTTTTATATTTTGTTCAGGCGGGTAGAGATACTTTTCATTCTAAAATGTTCTATTGTTTATTACTGTTTAGCCTGTGCTTAGACACTTTTGATTATTTGAGAGTAGACTTCTTGTTTTAATTTGCCAAAGGTTTTTCGAGCAGACGAACCAAGATAAGAAATGTGATGCCTTAAATAAAATAAAGCTATTAGCCATTCATTTATTGTTGCCTTATTGCATCTTTGAAAGACGGAGACCCAATCTTTAAATTTAATTTGGGAGGATAGGAATGGGGAGGGAATCTACATCTTCCACATGACAAAAACGCTTAAAATTTAGAATTATGATCCTTTTGCAGACACATTTCAATTTTCAACATGCTACTGGTAATCTGTAAATTTTGTTTGAAATGATAAGCCTTTTGTTGTCCATACAGGTACTTTCAGAAAGTTCAAGGAGCATTTGCCACAAAAAGATACTACTACTTCTGAAGCCAAAGTACGACTTTCACATTTACCGTTTTGTGTTAAGATATACCTAGCACATGGAAAGTACTCAAAGTAGTAAGAATAATTGCATGTGACCCAGTGTAGTGTATTTATCACAAGTATTCAGCGATATGTATATGAAGGTGACCTTAGGCTCACCGGTTAAGGTGTTGTGTGACCGAGAAGTCACGTGTTTAAGTCTTGGGAGTTGGGAGCGGTCTCTTCTCAAAATGACAAGGGAAGGCTTGCCCCCTGTACTCCATTGTGGTGGGACCCTTTCCCGGATCCTCGCCTTGCAAGGATGCTAATATGCACCGGGCTGCCCCTTTTTTGTTCACCAATGTAATATCTCAATTATGCAGTACTCTTAACAATATTGTCCCTGCCTTTTCTCCTAGTAAGATATATAGTATATTAAACATGAGTACTCTTCCGGTCAGGAATTCCTGACCGGAACCGCCGTCCGGACGGCGGCGTTTGACCGCCTTCCGGGTGGAATTTTTCGATGAAATTTTTATGACATGTTCTCCATCAAGTCTAGTTTATCCACAAAATATTTCAGCCAAAAACTCATTCGGGAAGGTCGTCAAATGATTTTTGCAAGTTAACTGGTCCAGAAAATACATATTCCGGACCAGTTAACTTGCAAAAATCATTTGACGACCTTCCCTATTGAGTTTTTGGCTGAATTTTTTTGTGGATAAACTAGACTTGATGGAGAACATGCCATAAAATTTTCATCAAAAAATGTCACCGGGAAGGCGGCCAAATGCCGCCGTCCGGACGGCGGTTCCTGTCCGGAATTCCGGACATGAACATTTGTGTGTGTATTAAACATTTCTAAAATTACCACCAAATCACTAATCTTAAAAGTTTTTCCTTTTATTTGGTGTATTTGATTATTTTGTTCTCTGTATTGATTATTCAAACAGATTTGTGACAATTACATGGAAGATCTTTGCGCATCGATCAAGGTCGGTCTTGTTGAGTTTCAATTTACCTGTCACTTTTTGTTTTTTCTTTTTTTTTTGGGGGGGGGGGGGAGTTTTTCCCAATTTCAGTGCGGTATGGTACTCACTGATTTGCACTAGTAAACATTCTTTTAATAACCAAAAAAGTAAATGCTTTAGAACAGAATAGAAAAGTAACTAATTTTGTATGCTGGAGCCATTCAATGATCATAATGAGATCCAAAACTAGCTTCACATTGCTGAACAGTACCAGGTTTCCAGGATTTTTGTATTTATATATATATATATATATATATATAGGCAAATGAATATGAAGAGGGAAAGGATTTGTGTTCAGAATTTTGATATAGAGACGTCAAGGGATTTTCAATTAATAAAGATTAAATGAATATATGTGTGTGTGTGTGAATATATATATGAATATATATGAAGTTGTGGTTCGGTTGTGATTTTGTTGAGATCCCAACCTCCATAATGTTGGGATTTCTTGTGATCCAAAACTCCCATTGCTTTTGTAATGAATTTTATGCTTTTCCATTAAATTTATTGTTAATATTAACTTTGAATTAATTAATACTTTTTTAAAGGTATTATAGCGAAAAATAGCTTCAAGAAGGAGTTGATAGAGTCTCTCCCAGTGAACTCTCTTTAGAGAGAAATAAATGTTTTAGAAGAATCTTTCCCAAAGGAAGAGCGAGTCAAAGCAAACAATGAATATGTTAATTTCTCTCTAAAGATTGGTCCCTTGAGTGATTCTATTTATGATATGTTTGATACTGATCCTAGAAAATGGTGTATAGTGCGAGTGCACCATTACTTCAGAAGTTGTCTTTTAGAGTGCTCAGGCAACCTAGTTCTTCATCTTGCTTCAAACGGAATTGAAGCACATATTCTTTAATCCAAAGTGCACTAAAGATTTAGTGTTCATCCATAATAATCTCCGGTTACTATCAAGAAATTTTGCTCACAATGAAGAGAAAACAAAAATGTGGGATGTCGGTGGAGATCAATTTTCAAGCTTACAAGATGTTGGTGTGCTGCTTGAGTTTGCCATTCTCTCTTTGGATGAGTCAGATCTGGCGCATGTTTTCTTTGATGATGTTCATGAAGCAGAGAATGAGTTTAGTTTATGGATGTTGCAATTTCAGTTTAGTTTATGAAAAGTTTGTGTTTTTTAAGATATGATACATTACTATTCAATTTTGTTTGGCACTAATATTAGAGAAGTTTATGTTTATATATGATTATTTATTAAAACATCCCTGTATTTTTTATATTTACGCGTTTCCCCCACATTTCGTGTCGTTTTTTTTTTAAAATGCCGTTTCTTGCATTTCCTGTTTTCGTGTGTCAAGAGTTTTTTGTTTCTGTGTTTCTTTTATGAATACATATGTCCTTCATATATAAAAAGTTTTGATTCTGAACTGACAAGTTCTTCTTGCCCAAGAAGGTAGGAGATAGATGTCTAGTTGAACCTAGAGAAAGGAGAGGCATTGTCAAATTTGTGGGTCGGGCAGAAACACTTGCTCCTGGATTTTGGGTTGGAGTGCAATTCGACGAACCCATAGGAAAACACGATGGCATGTAAGTTAAATAATAATTTTAATTTACTTCTCTCTTTGCCCCATATTAAGGTTCTTGGTTTGAATTGCAATGGTTGACCTGAAATATTAAAAAAATTACTTGTATATGCAAATTAAGTTGACTACTTGAATAGTGTGTTAGAACCCTATTCTGGGCTGGAGGTCGTACTTCTTTTAATGTTCCATTATGCTATTGTTGATATTACGTTACTACCATGTATGACTTTGCAACAAGATATCTCTATAGCAAGTATCTGAGTTCTTTGTTGTCCTATGATGATTAAGAATCTGTGATGCACATATTGATTAACCGGGAGGAAAATATGATGGCATGTAGCTTAAAGATTGTATTTTTGCAAAATTTTCAGTTTCCACAGTGCTTAGGTTCACCTTACAATATCAATTCTGCAATACGACGTTAGTATAACAACTATCCCAGTTCATTGTCATTACATGCATGGTGTTGATGAATTTTTAAATTCATCACATTATTCGTGTAGAAGGTTGCGACAAAGGGCTTTCAGCATAAAGCTTTGTCATTGTATATTTTTTGCACGAATCTGTAGCATTAATTATTTTTTTGCATGTATTTGTAACATAAAATCTTTTCACAACTAATTACTACTTCGAACGGTATGTCACTGATTCCAATTTAGTATGGGATTCTGTTTTGAAACTAAAAGAAGATAAAATGAAGTTCAGTTTGATGATAACTAGCACCTTTCACACCCTATACATGCAGATGCAGGAGTTAGATTGAGAAACTAATGAACATGTTAAAACCACTCAATAATACAATATCCTTTGAGTATATAACACTGTTCATGAAGTAGGTTATGCAATCTCACAAGACCATAACACTGTTTGTGAGAGAAACAATTCATATGCAGGTGTAAGTTTAGGTCCTTGTTTTGATCGATAATCCTTAAATATGTGTTTCAAGCACATCGTTGCCCTCAGGTGTTGCAAACTTGCATTGGTTTTCTTTTGAACTAACAAGGCATCTTCTTGTTCACATCATTCTCAATTTCTTTACCTTGGCTCTACGGAAAAATGATTTGTCTTTTATTTCTACAACAACCTTGGAACAGGAACAACGGTAGAATCAATATGCCTTGTTTGCATAATACATAGTGTCAGATGTCCCAGATGTTTGGTGGCCATGTACTAAAATTGATACTTTTATTCCTTTTTAATTACAACAGTTTGACTTCCATGTTTGCCTATACACAACTTCAACCGCTCATATATATATATGACTGTGAACAAGTATTGTTTTATTTCATATACTTGATATCAAAATGCTATACAAGAAGCTATATTTATAGCTATATTTAGAGTACTAGGGTTTCCTATACAAGATATACAAATGGGCTAAGCCCAATACTACTAGGGTTTCCACACTCCCCCTCAAGCTGGAGCATATAAATCATATGTACCAAGCTTGTTACAAATATATCCCACTCTAGGACCTCTAAGAGACTTAGTTAGAATATTTGCAAGTTGTTCATTTGTGTTCACATATTTTGTGATGATATGTCCACTTGAGATCTTCTCTCGGATAAAATGACAATCAACTTCAATATGTTTTGTCCTCTCATGATATACCGGATTTGATGCGATGTGCATTGCGGCTTGATTATCACACATGAGTTGAACCGGTTTAGGGTTTCCATATTTTAACTCTTGGAGGAGATGCTTCAACCATAAGATTTCACATGTAGCAAGGGCCATTGCACGATATTCTGCTTCAGCACTAGATCTGGCAACCACATCCTGTTTCTTACTTTTCCATGAAATTAAGTTTCCACCAATCAAGATGCAATATCCCGAAGTGGAACGTCTATCCATCAGACATCCGGCCCAGTCTGCATCACAGTATCCCACAATATCATGGTGGCCTCGATCTTCAAAAAACAATCCTTGCCCTGGAGTTTTCTTGATGTATCTCAAAACTCGGATAGCTGCATCCCAATGTACAGTACATGGCTTATCAAGAAACTGGCTAAGAACACTTACCGCAAATGAAATATCTGGTCTTGTGATGGTAGATAATTCAATTTGCCAACGAGTCTTCTATATTTTTCCTTGTTGGGCAAAAGATCTCCCTGTTCTGATAAGAGTTTAACGTTCGGATCCATGGGTGTATCCACTGGCCTGCAATCTAGCAAACCTGTTTCCTCAAGAATATCCAAGGCATACTTTCTTTGTGAGAGAGCAATTCCATTTTGAGACTGTGCAACCTCAATGCCAAGGAAGTATCTCAACTTTCCCAAGTCTTTTGTTTGAAATTTGCTAAAGAGATGTTGTTTGAGGAGCGCAATTCCTTGATCATCGCTACCTGTAATGACAATGTCATCAACATACACAACAAGATAAATACATTTGTTGCCAGCAGAATGTCTGTAGAATATAGAATGATCGACATCACTGCGAATCATGCCAAAGCTGCACACAACGGCACTAAACCTCCCAAACCATGCACGTGGAGATTGCTTCAAGCCATATAATGAACGACGTAATCTGCACACCATACCAGACTCCCCCTGAGCAACAAATCCAGGTGGTTGCTCCATATAAACTTCCTCGTGCAGATCTCCGTGAAGGAATGCATTTTTAATATCCAATTGGAACAATGGCCAGCGGCTCATTGCTGCCATGGATAAAACCAAACGAACTGATGCAATCTTAGCTACAGGAGAAAAAGTGTCAGTGTAATCCAAACCATATATCTGAGCATACCCTTTCACCACAAGGCGTGCTTTAAAACGATCAATCTCCCCATCAGGCCCAATTTTAACTGTGTAAATCCACCGACATCCCACCACAGATTTTCCAGTGGGAAGGGGGACTAAGTCCCACATTCCACTAGAATGAAGAGCCTCCATCTCAGCCAACATGGCTTTACGCCACTGCGGGTGTGCCAGTGCCTCATGTGTGGTTTTAGGAATGCATATATGAGACAAGTGTGAAATAAAAGCATAGTAAGGGGTAGAGAGACGGTGATAACTTAAAAAGTTATATATGGGATGTGGATTCAATGTGGAACGCGTACCTTTTCGGAGGGCAATGGGCAAATCATCCTGAGTGGTTTCAAGTGCTGGAGTAGGTGATGGTGGTGATGCAGGATCCGTCATAGGGAAATCAATGGGCGTGGCCACGATGGGCTCAATGGGAGGAGGTCGAGGACGTCGATGGTATACCTGTAATGGACGGTCTGACAAAAGAGGGCAGTTCGGGTGCTCACCAGATGGGGGTTTAATGGGAGTCTCCTGATGAATGGGCCGGAGATATGAGGTGAAGTCCAAACATGATGGGGTATCAACTGAAGATAATGGATAATAAAAGGACGACTCAATGAAGGTGACATCGGCTGAAATAAAATGTTTCTTAAGTAATGGAGAATAACAACGATAACCCTTTTGGAGTCGTGAATATCCAAGAAAGATACATTTTATTGACCTAGCCGACATTTTAGTTAATCCAGGTGTCGTATCATGGACAAAACACACACACCCAAACACATGAGGTGGTAATGGAAATAAATCACGACCAGGAAACAAAATAGGATAGGGAATTTGATTATTAAGAACTAAGGCATTCTATTTATTAAATGACACGCAGTGAGCACAGCATCTGCCCAATACTGAGGTGGTGTATGGGAATGTAATAATAGGGTACGAGCAGTATCAACCAATTGTCGGTTCTTGCGTTCAGCAACCCCATTTTGTTGAGGCGTGTGAACACAAGAAGATTGGTGAAGCATACCCCGTGATGTCATGAATTGATTAAAGGATGTCCCAAAAAATTCTTTAGCATTGTCACTGCGTAAAATTTTGATAGAATGACCAAACTGAGTTTGAATTTCAGCACAAAAAGTTTGAAAAATATGAAACAATTCAAAACGCTCTTTCATTAAAAACAACCATGTGTAACGGGAAAAATCATCCACAAAAATAACAAAATAACGGAAACCTAAAGTATACGTGACTCGATACGGACCCCATACATCTGTATGAACTAAATCAAACGGTGATGCAGCCCGTTTATTGACTCGCCTTGGAAAGGATTTACGAGGTTGTTTTCCAAGGTGACATGACTCACAATCTAAAGATGAAAGATTTGAGAAACCTGGAACCATACGTTGAAACTTTGAGAGACTAGGATGACCCAGACGGTTATGTAAGGTAATAGCAGGTTCAACTGAGACACAAGCGATTGGATCAACAGGATGGAGATGGTACAGACCTTGGGATTCATGTCCGACGCCAATCGTTTTCCCCGTACAACGGTCCTGCACAATCACCGAATCAGCAGAAAATGTTACGGAACAATTAAGAGAACGTGTAATTTTACTGACAGAGACAAGGTTAAAAGGGGTGTTTGGGACATATAAGACCGAGTCTAATGGTAAGGATGAAAGTGGAAGTGCTTGCCCAATACCCGAAGCCGAAGTTTGAAGACCATTAGCAAGAGTAATCAAAGGAAGATGTCGGTGCTTGGTAATATGGGATAAAAGATTGGGATTACCAGAAATATGGTCTGAGGCACCTGAGTCAATGATCCATGAGGCCGCTGTGTTTGAAACGCAAGCGGTAGACATTCCAGTTGTAGATAATGGCATATTAGTCAACTTAAATTGCTGATATGCTGTATATTCTTCTGGAGATAGAATGATGGGAGATGGTGGGATCTGAGCGACACTGACTGAGGTAGGAGGTCTCCCATGTAATTTCCAACACATGTCTTTAGTATGACCAATTTTATGACAAAAAGCACATTTAGGACGATTCCGTCTTGAGAATCCGATGTTGTTTGCTCTACCAGAACTCATAAAAGACATTTTTATAGAAACCTCTTTTTTTTTTTCTTTTTTCTTTTTTTTTTTCTTTTTTTTTTTTCTTTTTTCTTTTTTTTTAACTTGTTTTTTTTAAGAAGAGTGCAATATTAGTAATAACAAAATAAATGAAAAAAAAAATAAAACCTGCTGAGAGGATCAAGGCAGCAGTTTGCAAATAATAGAAAGGCAGCACCAAAGTAGTCGCACTAGCAGCGGAAGAAAAAACCGGAGACCAGTAGACACCTGTCTTCGATGTGACAGGCTGAACGCCAGCGGGCAGACAGAGCGACGTCGGCGGCGCGTGAGTACGGCAGCGAGGTCCGGCGACGCGTGAGTCCGGCGGCGAGGTCCGGCGACGCGTGCGTTTTTCGGCGGTGGCAGAATCACGCCAAATTTTTTGCAGAGGGTCGCCTGATGATGGCTTTTCTTCTGGAACAGGTAGTGACGAAAACAGAGCAGCGCAGAAGAGTAGATCTGGAGAAGAACAGTGCAGATTTCTGTACCGCCGGCAGCGCGTGGAGGCGCGTAATAGACGCAGCGTCGGCGAGTTTCCAGGCGACAGGTCACGATGGTGAGCTGAGTGCGACGGTAGGTTTATATCACTACCGAAAGCACGACATACGCGATCACTATTCACGCCGGAATTTCGGTCGGAATTTCTGACCGGCAGAAAGATTAGAACACTAAGTAACTATATTTGCCATTTTGGCTCTGATACCATGTGAACAAGTATTGTTTTATTTCATATACTTGATATCAAAATGCTATACAAGAAGCTATATTTATAGCTATATTTAGAGTACTAGGGTTTCCTATACAAGATATACAAATGGGCTAAGCCCAATACTACTAGGGTTTCCACAATGACTAACCATTACTAGAAGTAATAAAAAGTTGATATTTTTAAAATTTAATATAGACAATGTTTAAACGCAGTTTATATAAATAGTGTGTAGTTATTTTCCCCCCACAGGGGGTTTGGGGGGCTGGGGGAGCCTGGGGTAAATAGGGCTGAAACTCCCTCAATGGAGTTTTGAACCCGAGACCTCCCGTATGAGAGAGTGAATCGACGACCAGTTGAGCTGTCGCTTCCTCATAAATGATAGGTTTAAGTATGGTAATTGAATAATCTGAAAGTCCAAATGTTGCAATGAAAAAACAATGGAGCCTTCCCAAATATGCAATTTTACATTGGATTTAAGGTGTTGCTCAAGAAATTGGTTTGGTATTTCTTTTTTGCATCAATAGCTCAACTTTGACTGTTGCTTCTTCTGGTAGGGTGAAAGGCAAACGCTACTTCGATTGTCCTCCTCTTCATGGCTCAATTGTTCGCCCTGATAAAGTAAAGGTTTGTGCAGCTTTTTTTTAAAAATATTCCAGACTTCCAATAATATGAGGGAGTGAAGGACAGTTCTGATATATGGTTGCTTGGTTAGTTACTTATTTTGTTGTCACTTTGTGCACATGAAATAGTACTGCATTTTGTGCTTCCAAGGGTCATTTTATTTTACTGTAAAAAATTATACGAGTAGAAAACAATATCCCTATTATTTGTCAAACCTCTACCAATTATATCTTGGTTACAACCATTGGTGAGTTATTGGACAAGCTTATTTGTCAAAATGTAATCCCTCCACTCAAAAAGTCATGCTTCAAAGCTTATTTTTGTTAAAACTAAGGTTCTTTTCAACAAAAGAAACTAAATTCATTGAATATAGTGTAATTTTCCAGAAGAAAAGAGGTTCCTAACAAGTTGAATGTGTTATACTTGGTTTAAGAATTTAAGTAGTATTGATATTTTACAGATGTTGAACTTTACCAAAACTAAAAACTTATATCTAGATTAATCGAGGTTGTTTTCCTAGAACGGAGCTACTAATATTATTAGAACATACTCGTGATGGTAGGACATTTTTATCTAAATCTGAAAGAAAGAAAGAAAAACTAATGTCCTTGGTCGTTTATATAGTGATGGTGTTGGTTCTGGTTGGGTAATACTTGTGTGTTTGTTTGTTCAGGTTGGGGATTATCCAGAGCTAGATCCATTTGAAGATGAGGAAATTTAGTTGTGATCATTTCGAATCATTACAACTTTGTTATTTGCATTTTTCATCCGAGAGAAACAAATGGAAATGCAAAATTACTGGCACTGATACTAAATTTAACATTCTGAAATACATGTGAGCAGATGTAAAGCAAAAAAGTAGAACTAACTTTATAGGTATATTTGGGTGTGTAATCACTTCGCTAGTCTTTTATTTATTTCTTCTTTCTTCGGAGAGGAAAGTTTGCTAATCTTTCTCGTTACTTGAGGCTTGCTGGGTATTAGCAGATCATGCAATATTAGCAGCGTGAAACTAGTTCTAAAAATGCAAACTGGCCAGCTGGGTAATACCTTTGCAGTGTCCACCCACCTATTGAAGCTACAATAGTAACTCTAATCTTACTATATTCATTTTCTTTTTGGGATAAGGGTCAGATAGGGCCTCGAACTCGAAAAAAAATGTCAAATAAGGTCATATTTCGGATGCTCTGTCTGGCCGACGCCATTTGGGGCGGTTCCCGATGGAATTTTTTGATGAATTTTTTTGAGCATCTTCCTCATTAAGTCTAGTTTACCCATACCAAATTTCAGCTAAAAATTCAACCGGGAAGGTAGTCAAATAATTTTCCGAAATGTACGGCGTTGTTTAACTTCACAGTTATCTTCAAAAATTCATTTGACTACCTTCCCAGTTGAGTTTTTAGCTGAAATTTGGTATGGGTAAACTAGACTTAATGAGGAAGATGCTCAAAAAATTTCATCAAAAAATTCTATCGGGAACCGCCCCAAATGGCGTCGGCCAGACAGAGCATCCGAAATATGACCTTATTTGACATTTTTTTTCGAGTTCGAGGCCCTATCTGACCCTTATCCCTTTCTTTTTTGAAAGAAAATCTTACTATAGTGATTGTGTGATGAGAAATGTACGATAAGTATCTTGGAATTTGAACTTAAAATTGAAAACGTGAGACTCATCATATTACAAAAAGTAATAGAACTCATTTGCTATTTCCTAAATGTGCATTTGTTGTATTTATACTTTGCCAAACTACATATTCCGATATTCGTTTAGAAAAAGTAAACATAGCTTAATTAGTACACACATATGAATATCTACATTTTGTTCTCAATTTGGTCACTATAACCCGCTGAGGCTGAGATAACGAGTTGAATATTTTAATGGCCTGAGGAACGTCACTTGAATAGTTAAAACCTATTTTGAAAGAATATTATTCGCAAATACAAATTACAAATAAACCATAAATATTTAGGCTCCAAAACTATCACCAATTCTAATTCAAACATAATTTAACTTAGTAATATGTTTAAGATATATATAAATAAATAATATTGTATATGTGCATCATATAAATTTTCTACGGAGTACTAAATATGGGCCTTGTTTGACAATCGGCTGTTAGGGGTTAGCTGTTAGCTCCTAATAGTAACTGTTTGACAATAGCTGATTGTGTTAGCTGTTTTGATTGACTGGTTATATTAACTTATTATTAGCACATGCTTGGTAAAATTAGTTGTTTAAATTGTTAGAATGTAAAAAAACACTTATAAGGATTTATTATTTTTAGTTATTACTTATAACAAAAGTGTAATTGCAGGCCAACTTGAAATAGAATATAGAGAAATGTTAGGTGTACACCAACTTGAAATATAATATAGAGAAACGCTAGGTGTACACCAGTTTGTGTACCTCATTGGCACACATTGTCTGTTTACGCAGACAATATTTTCTGTGTAAGACAACTCTTTCAACGTAGACAGACAATGTGTGCGAATAGGATACACAAAATGGGATACACCTAGCATTTCTACAGAACATAATGAGTATAACAAACAAGCAAACAGCGCCACTAGACAGAGGAACCCAACTAGATTCCAAAATACAACCAAATTAACAATCTTACAAGAGCTTGAGAACACAACTTGACGGATCAACTATTCTCTAGTGACATGGATTCTTACTAGTCAAACAATAGGATTGTGAAGCACAGACTTAATTCAACTTATAATAAAACATAAAAGCTAGAGTTCATGTACAAATAGAGAGTAGCAGACTTACCATTCTCAATTTGGGTGTTCAAAAACTTTTACAATTAAAACTTTAGTGAACACTAAATAATGATATTAAATTTATTGGTGTATATTTTTACATTTTTAAAAAACTTTGAGTGTTCAAGGAACACTTTGGATCAATAGTAGATCCACCCATGCAAATAGATGTAGTAGATTATGCTTCTCCCTTCCGACTTTCTTTTGAGAAAACAAGAAACATGGTGAAGGAGAAAATGGCCCACCGGTAGGAATGGACCCGGGCCGGGCCGGTTCATGCCTAGGCCCGGCCGGGCTTTTTTTTTCGGAAGGAAGAACCGGAACCGGCCCGGGTAGGCAGCGATTCTGGTCCAGGCCGGTTCACTTCTTATTTTTTTAATTTTCTTTTGCTTTTCTAATTAACCCCCGACCCCCCCCCCCCACCCCCCCCCCTCACCCTTCCCCCCCCCCCCCTCACCCTTCACCCCCCCAACACCCAGCCCAACTCGGGAAAAACGAAAAAAATGAAAAAAAAAAAGCCCGAACCGGGCCCGGTTCGCCTTTTTCATGACCCGGAACCGCTTAACCCCTCGGGCCTAGGCTCGAACCGGAACCGGTTTCCCGGGTCGGGCCGGTTCTAAACAGTATTGAGCCGGTTCCGGGCGGCCCGAACCGAGTCCATCCCTACCCATCGGTGGGCATAGCTCAGCTGGTAGCGAGGGAGTGCTATGAGAGGTTAGGTCTCAGGTTCGAATCCCGGCAACTGCGATGAGAGGTTACTATGCTAAAAATGCATAAGGCAACTGCGATGAGAGGTTACTATGCTAAAAATGCATAAGGCCTCTGCAAGTACAAGGGACAGAGCTTCATTCTCTATCTGTCAGATTGTGATTATAGTTCAATTTACATCCTCACATTGTGTCGTCCGGTCAGTTGGGGGCCTTTGGGAGAAAATGGACCCGACATGTTACTTGTTAAGGATAGAACTATATTGATTAGAGGTGTAGTGGGAAAGGAAAGGCAATTTAGGGTATTGAAGGAAAAGAGGTTGGAACCTTGCAAGTAACAAATCTGTAAATTTGGTATTCAAGAAGAGCATATGAACTGGTGAACTATCGAGCTAAAAGTCATAGTCAGAGGCAAAATTAGAGAAATTACAGCAATGAATTACAGCTAAACTCATTTAACTTGCAGTTTTTTTTATTTATATACTTAAGACATAACAATCTTTACTCAAATTTGCAGAATCCATTAATTTGAGCATCATACACGTTACACTACAGAATACAGTTCTCAAGAGCTTCAAGAACTACAGATAACGATGGCATCTAAAATTTCGTCACAATAACTTATCGCCCAACGCATAGGCCGATTGAATGATCTACATCCCGTTCGAATTAAGAAAAAGCTGTCGAACGCTCATAGCTTTGGAAACTGGAATCTCGAAACTACACCGAATTGCAAAATGCGTAAAAATACCATCAATTGAAATTATAACCTAATCGAATCAACTAAACTTATCAAATTTGATAGAAACGAGAAGAAGACAGAGATATAAGAAAAAGTTTCGCTTCATATAAATGTTCTGATTCATCAACCACATTACAAAGGTAAGATAACTAACTACAGCTTTGAAATCAAGTAGGAAAATGCATCTGCGTTTAGATCAGATGAACATCGAAACTTCCACAAATTTCTACCCTCCGAATCCGTACAAAGTCCTTCCCTGCCTCTTGAGAGCATAGACAACATCCATCGCCGTCACGGTTTTCCTCCGAGCATGCTCGGTGTAGGTGACGGCGTCTCTGATAACATTCTCGAGGAAGATTTTGAGAACTCCTCTGGTTTCTTCGTAGATGAGGCCGGAGATACGCTTCACGCCGCCTCTGCGAGCCAAACGGCGAATGGCGGGCTTAGTGATGCCCTGGATGTTGTCGCGAAGAACCTTCCTGTGACGCTTGGCTCCGCCCTTCCCCAATCCTTTACCTCCCTTACCACGGCCGGACATTTTTGCAGATCGAAACTATGAAAACTTCAAATTTGAGAGTGGGAAATCAGGAAATTCGCGGTGGGTTGAATGGAAGGTGGGTGCGCTTTTTATTGCCGGGTAAGTGGATGGTGATTTTAATCTGGACCGTCGATTGGAATTACATTATCGACGGATAAGAATTTCGATCCGCGTGAGGGAAAAGAGGTAATATAGACCGTCTATCAGAGATACATCGACGGATAGCGTTTCTTGAAAACATCGTAATCGCGGATTGTGCTTTTTCCTGAACGGGGTCATTTGCCGCGGTAACGTACTAACGAACGCTCGAAAAATCAAAACTGCTCCGTTAGCCAAAAAGGAAGGCAATTGTGATAAATAAAATAAAGGTTAGTAAACACTCAACATGTGGCTGTAGTTTAGTGGTAAGAATTCCACGTTGTGGCCGTGGAGACCTGGGCTCGAATCCCAGCAGCCACAATTCGAACTTTTTTTCAACACTCAAGTCATGCTAAGTAAAGCCATGGTTTTTAATTTTTGTTATATGATTGTATCAGTGGATTGATTGTCTCGATTGGAAAATCAATCGTTTTTTTAATTTTATGAAGTTCTGACTGAAGTGGATGTATTGGCTGATTCATTCATGAAAAAATTATATTTAAAATATTTTTTATTAATAAATAAAATAAAAATTTATACGAAAAAATAGCCAAAATGATCCTCTACAGTAACTTCAGCCAATACAGCCAGAAAAGAGAAAAGTAACTTCAACCTTAATTTTTCTGCTTATTACACAATTCAGCGCGTGAAATTAAAAATTACGTGTTTGGTGAAAACGCTGACTGATAAGCCTGACAAGCCAAAAATGGAGGTCACCAAACGGGCTCCTAGTGATTTTAACTATCTAATTAATCTTCATAGATGGATTGTTTGGCTTTAAGGATGGAGAAAAATATCAAAATTTCGGTATATCGTATTTACCATATTGAAAAAATATTGGGTTTATCAAAAATTTAGGTCTACCGACATTTTCGGTATAGTATGTACCGTACCAAATAATTTTGGTATGGTATCGATATATCTTCTAAAAATAAAAGGTATACTGATATACCGTTATACTGAAAGTCTTATTCCATACAGAGTATTATTTAAAATTATAAAAATGATTAAATACACACTATGTAGCACGGAAACTCTCGGGAAAGAGTACCTTTACCGTTTCGGAAACTCTCATAAACTCTTTAGAAACTCTCCAAATAAGCCTTTTTGAGCAAAAGCTGACATTTCCTGATTCCCGTTTCCTCATGATTTTTGCGTTTCCGTGCAACATAGAATACACAACATCATATCAGGGATAAATGATTTTGTATCCATGTTGTTTGAATAGTTTTTTTGTAAGAGATTAATATTGATTTAATTATATCTATATCGTTTCGGTTATTTTAGGAGGAATATGTTATTTTTAAATGTGTGACATGTTGAACTACTTAAATCTACTAATATAATAATAATTTTTCAATATTGAATATGACATCAATGGGTTATTTGTACTTTATAACATTTTAATAATGGATTAAAGATGTCGCTAGTAACACTGATTTTTTATATTTCATTAGTCTATAATATTTTTTTGTATTGAGAGACATGCATTGTAGTTTACCACCGATATGGAACCGTTAGTGAATCAAAAGTTCAAAATATCGAAATGCAGTATACCGAAACTTCGGTTAGGTAACGATATATAAATTTTGTATACCAAAAGTTTTGGTGCGACAAAGGTATGAGAGAAAATATTCGGTATACCGTACCGAACCACCCCGAGCAGGGTCGACCCTGACATATAAAGGGCTATGTTCAAAATCGAATTTGAGGCCCTGAAGTATAAAACACAATATTAATATTCCCTATGTTCTTAAACAATAGTCTCCTTACGATTTTTTGTGAGTTTTAAGAAGAAAATAGTAGAGGTGGTATAGAGGTGTATGGTAAATGCAAAAGTAGGAAAAAGAATATATTAGGAAGAATAAAGACTATAGTACTGATAAATTAGGAAAAGAAAGTAGTTGTAAGCTCGTCCCAAACTGTACAAAGGAATTGTGCTAATTAATATTATCAGGCCTTATGTAATAAATAAAATGTACAATTGTAATTAACAAATGCAATTTAATTACATATAAATGTTACTATTTAATGTTTGTATTTAAAAAAAATTAAAATATGAATCTTTAATCAAATAAAAAAAGATTATGTATGTATACTATGTAGACAATATTACAAATTTGGGCCTCCTGAATCGAGAGGCCTTGTGCGCATGTGCGGTAACACTTCTTGCAAGCCCTAATCTACGGCCCCGACCCCTACTTTAGCTCTTCTTATTAGCCTCAAAAAGCTAGATTTTAAACACTAGGGTGAGTTACTATTAGAATTCATGGTTTTGTTTTCTTCTTTTTGTTCCCTTTTTATTTCATGCAAATCACCTTTTGTATCCCATGTAGAGTTAATATCGGAAGTAGTCCTCCACTATTGAGGTAATACCCAATTCAGTCTTACACTCGTACACTATTAATATGATTAGTTTTGATCCTCAACATTAACTTTTTTTTATCAAATTTAGTCATTCGTTAGTTTTTCTCGTTTTTCTCATCAAGTCAAATACAAATCAATCCATATATGGTGTCACCCAAGGCTTTAACCATCACTATAATCACTCTCCTACTCTTAATTGTGCCAACAAAGCTACTATGCGTATCTTAAACTCAATCTAGTAACATGTGTGAGATGGAATTGTGTTAGAACATGTTATTTTCATTTTTCCATTTAGTTTTGACTCTTCTACTTCGTAATTGTGCCTACAAAAATAGGGCTTTCGGTGATTATGAACGATATGAGCGGGTACTCAATGGAGAAAATATAAAGATAAAGTTAAAATTAGGGATGAGTGTCTTTTTTATTGTTGTAAGCGATGAGTATCAAAATTAATAAGAAGAAGAAAAGATAGAGATAAAATTAAGGCTTTCTTTTGTCACGTATCTTTCTATCGTTGTATGGGATGAATATCAAAATTAAAAAAAGAACTTAGCATAAAGGGTTCATGAAAGAGACCCATTGAGGGACCGATAACTTTTATGGTTTGGCCACAATTTAGACTATCCAAAATTATATGTTTCTCTCACCAATTACAGAATTGGAGTTTGAGAAGGTTGTCTTCACTATGCAACCTGACAAGGCACCTGGTACAGGTTTCCTGAACTCGGGATTTTTCAGCATTAGTAGGATATTGTCGGCACTGAAGTCATATGTGTTGTCAGAGAATCTTGAATGAAGGGAAGCTATCACAGGAGGTAAATATCACAAATATTACGTTGATCCCTATGAGAGATAAACTAAAGGTTTTAGGTGATTGGCGCACTATACCTCATTGTACATTGATCTATAACTTGGTCGCACAAATCTTGACTAATAGATTGAAAGGGTTATTTAAAAACCTGGTATCCTTAAATCAAGGATACTAACTTTTTTGGTTTTCACAAAAAACATGCAAACCATGATTTCTGAAAGAAAAAAAAACTTTGAATGTAAAAACTTTGAATGTGACAACTTTCTCTTCTTTAAACCACGATTTAAACGGATTCTGCAAGATTATGAAGCGGAGTTAGAACAAAGAATTAATTTCTCAAAGTCACATGTTTCGTTTAGCTTGTATGTGCCACATTCGGTTAAGGTGAATGCCTCCAATTTCTTGGGAGTCTCTCAGGAGGATAAGGCATACCAGATATCTTGGCTACCTGCTCTAGTAGGAAGTCTTTCAAGATATTTACGGGAGAAAGTTTTGAAGAGGGTGCAAGGGTAGAATAATAGATTATTGCATACCAGAGGCTGGTAGCTTAGGAATGTACTATTGAAAATGTTATTCAATATTTGCCCTCATACGCGATGAATGTGTTACTTTTACCATTGGATGTATGTGCAGATATTGAATGAATAACAAATAGTTGTTGGTTGAGAGAAACAAATAAGACATGGAAACGGATTCGTTTGAAAAGGTGGAAACCCCTTTGTTCATTCTCTGGGGACTTGCTTAATTTATTTATTTGTTTCAAACCTATCCTTGGATAAAGCAATATTAGTTGCGCAGTTCAGTGTCATTTTCTGTAGCTGCTATAATTTTTGTATTCATGGATCAAGGAAATAGATACTGATGGACATTTCGTAGGTAGATCGATAAGTACGAAAAGAGATTATAAGATTACGTGCGAACTGCATTTGCAACAGAAGCTCAAGGAAATGAAATTCGTTTCCCATGCAAAAGTTGTTGCTATCGTTACTGGTATCAAGAAAACACGGTGAAAGTGTTGGAAAAATAGGAGTATTTCAAATAAATAAATATTACTTTTCTTATTTAATTTTTCACATACTAATTTAATAATAAATGTTTACACATCTTATATATACATACTACTTTTATGTCTTCATATGAAAATTATGACTATAATGAAAATAAAATGTTAAACGTTATGTTTGAACATTATCTTTAAGGAGGATTAATTGTTGATTATTAATAATTACAATAAATATGCATTCTTGAGCATTGTCCTTTGAGCTCCTATCAAAACCGTTTCATGAGCCTGGCTTTTATTATTATATTAATAATAAATAGTGAATCAAGGTTCACTAATATATATATATATATATATATAGTATTTGATGCACACTAATTCTTGGAAGAGCAACGTATGGCTCATGGGGTGTCAAGCATCTTGGAAAAGTATCTCATGGTTCTAGCTCGGCCACTCCCTATGGTTTAGATTATACATGATAGATTTATCACAAATCATATTTTGTTCAAATGATTATTGGGTTCATATAACTATTTTCTTCTCGTTAGTTCTGCTTCCGGTCTCATACCGAAGAGATCGTTATATCTTGGGGGAAATATCCGTATGCCGGAAATAATTACTTAGGACAACGTCTGACGCGTTTCGAGCCTCTAATATAATTTTAGTTCGTTTTAGTGATTATTTTTCAGGTCAATTCTCGGAGCTAGACGGTTAATGCGATCAACTTTGGAGCAATACGGTGAACATACACGTTGA